CCACGCCCCCGGTGCCCCCATTGCTGTGGATTATGAATCGGTGGGGGTGGAGTGGTCTTAGGGGAGGGGGGAGGAGTATGTGCTCTGTCCGCGCTAATCAGAGCATCTACCCCTCCCACAGCTTTCCCCACCTCCAAACTTCTCGGAGCATTTGTGCACTTCCCCACCGTGAACTTTGAGCTCAGTGTCTTGACAATCAGATTCTCCGGGTGCCGCCAAACCCGGCCTTTGCCGGTGCCGGGATAGAAGCATTTCCAGCCCCCATTTAGGGCCAGGTTAGCAGCAAGGGAGAGGTGACCGGGGTCACCCATTGATGGCCCCAGGGTCCTGCCTGGCTGCTTTGGTGCCAATGCGGTTTGCAGCTTGCAGATGGGAGCATGCAGGAAACACTAAGCTGGGGAAAGGAGGAAAAACTGAGGCTTAACAGAGGAAATGTGCCTTGGCTGCAGAAAGGGCATTCGGGGGCTGATGGGCAGCCTGTGTTGAGATTCCCCTAGCAGAACCCACATGTGCTCAGATCTAGATTTTAAAAGTCAGGGCACCTCCAGGACAATAACCTAAATGGTACAGCTTTGCAACCTACAATCAGATTACTTGTCCGAAAAGGTTAGAATAAAGATATAAAGGGGGGGGGGGGGCACATCTTGAATTCAAGCAGATTGAACAGACTCTTCCTTGATCTATGTCTAATCAGCTAGGAAACACCTGGACCTTTGGTGGATTCACAGATGTTTGGTTAGAAAACACCTGTTTAGATTGCAAGACAGTCAGTGGGAAAATACTGTGATTCAGATGGACAACTGAGGAACCAGGTTCTCCCTGGTTCCAGTCACGCTTAGAACATACCCTGCTGCTGTGCTTAGGCACCATTACTGTAGTGAGAAAATATTGTCACAAGGTCCCTTTTTCTGCCATATGCCCAGCTGTGTTATATCACACATTTCCTGGCATTTAGCCTGATAAAGTGTGAGACTTATGTGTAAAGCCCTGCAACCTAAATGCCAAAGAAAACCCGATACTCTTAGTGTGCTTTTTTGTGAATGCAAAATGGGCAGCACTTTTTAATCATATGCATTAAAATGTTTAGTATACATAGCGTTTATGTATACATCGGATGCAAGAAATTAAAAAAAAATACAGCTGTATTTACCCACAGCTCTTTTATGGCCATCAGATCAAAGGAAAGTAACACTCATCCAGTTGTTGTTTGTCATAAAGTTAGTTCACACATACTGTATCATGGGATTGAAAGTTTCAAACAAACCTCTCATCTGTACCTCAGGGAGAGGGATGTTATTGTATGTCTTCATCTGATGTTAGTACACAATTATTTGTATGCATAATTTACATCAGAAAAGCTGGAACATGATATTGGCATTATATGAAATGCAAGATGCAAGTAAATCTTTAATAAGGTAGAGTTCCTTTTTGAACTAATGATCACATATTTGAAGGTAAGGGTATTCCTGTTTAAGGGCCAAAACTGCAGGAGCAATGTTATATGTGCAGATTTTACCCAGGCTTTAGAAGATTTGGCTCCATTGCCATTTCTATGAAATGAATGAATCTGAAAGTAAAGTTTCCTGCACTATTGGGTTTCTTCTATGACCCTTATATTGCATCTTTTTTTCTGCTGTTATTGTTAAGGCCTCAGTAGTTTGAAATGTACCGGGCCATTCAGCTGCTGAAGTAGGTAGCTCTATTACATGTGAGGAAGGATTATCTTTATTTAGGTCCATTTGCCTTTCTAGCTAGAAAAATTCAGGGCCTGCACACCCAAACCTCCCTTTGGATTAAACAAGGAATGCAATGATCATTTATTATCTTCTTATATGTCAGGAAGGTGCCATGTTCACACTTTAATAATACATAAATTGCTGATCAAGCATACAGATAGGGAGAGGAGAAAATACAGAGCATATAAATAACAAACAACTGGAAAATATTTTAACAGAGCTAAAGATCAGAGGAGTGTATAAATGAAGAGGAAGGATATCAAACATTATTTTTGAGTGCACATATGAAAGGAGTCAACATTAAGTATTATGCAAGTATGCAGGTGGGGAGACTGTAAATGAAGTGGAGGACTATGAGGCCATGACATTTGGTGTGTGCGTGTGTGAGAGCATTAATGAGGACATGAACATTGCTTCCCAGTTCCTTTCTGCTTTCTACTAACCTTTATACAGGAAAATGAGACAGTACACATATATTGAAGACATCCAGGGAGATTACTGTATATATTTTGTATAAGAGTAATTGGCTCTACCAAACAGAGAGCACAGAGCATTCTGTGAGCTGCTGTACAGTAATATATTCTGAAGCATTTTATGCATTTGATTTCTCAGACTTTTCTTTCATGGGTATATGCTGAGGTTCCTTTTGAGGACTGGCACTTTCCAGTTTCTGATCGCTCCTAGCAAAGTCTTCTACAAATGGCATTTCTGTGTCAGAATGTTCATTAATGTGTCCCTGGGAGTTTGCAAGGAGTCCATTCTTTTTTTCTCTACACACAGGACCATATTCATGAGGTTGACCAAGTCACTATATCTACAGATACTTGACTCTTTAATTCTACATTCCCGTGAAACACACAGAACCACCGGGGGCCAGAGTGCTTATAATAAAAATGAATATAAGTATTATAGCACTTAGGAAAATGTAACAAAATATTTCTGATTTTTAGATGTGAAGCAAGGCATGATGTAAGTTATCATACAGGTAACACAGGAAGATGTTACAAGGCGTAGATAAAAACCCAATGAAAAAAAAAGAAAACTTGTGATGCCCAGGAAACAGGATTTGTCTGTAACAAGCAAGAGAAGAGATAGCCCATGATACGGATTTGAAGAATCAGGGTGTTAATTGAACACAAAACAATGAAAGAAAATCTGGGGCATGGAAATAGTTTCTACTATTTACTTTGAAAGTCAATGGGAAGTAGAAGAAAGAACTCTTACATTTTTGTAATAGAGGGAAAAGACAGAACAGGATAAGAAAAGTTTAAAAGGGCTGGAAAAGGTTACATTTCCTAGCCAATGACAGTATTAAGACACTGAAAGAGACAACCAGTTAGCTGTGTCTTTTGCAAATAACAGGACTTACTGAGTTTGTATTCTGCACATTATGGCAGCCAAGACCTGATAGTTAAGAGTTTGGTTTTCCAGACAACATCTCTGCTAGTGAGCTAAAAGGTGGTGATTAAGGCTGATTGTGTCAGTAGGAGCTGTTTATTTTGGCTTGAAGTTGCTCACTGCAAATCTTTAAAAAAAGCAGATCCCTAAATAATCTGAAATACACAAGAAACCAGTGTAGTATATAGGTTAATGCTACCTCATGACACAGGCAAAAAGAGATAATACTGCACTTTTGGTTAATTGGAGATTTAAGAATTAAACTAGGAAAAATGTACAAGAGGCTAATTTTTGGCTCCTTTCAACTTAGCAGTCTTGAAATTGATTTAATTCAGACCAGGTTTTGCCCCAAAAGATTATATTGTTCTGAATAATAATATTCAGAATTGTTGTCTAATATGGACAGTGTTGCAATCCCTAGACTGCAAACTAGGGAGATCCTGACAATATTGATAAGTTTATACGAGTGGAGGGGGAGTGTTTTGTTTGAAGATGCTGTTACCATCAGCTGGTCTATCCATTTTGACTGAGCGGAGATGAAGGAAGGAATGATGCAATGTGCAATAAGATGATGATGAGATTTAGCCAGGCAGAAAAATAATTTAGGGATAAAAGAATTTTAAGACATAAGATATGGGTTTCATTTGCAGGGAAGTGTTAAAGAGTTTAGAAAAGAGATGACAAGTGGTGTAAGGATAATGGGTTGGAAACTGGAAACTGAACTACAAACAACATACTAGGAAGAGCTGGAAAACATGCTTTACACTTTTGTGGTTTGATGGCTTCCTGGTCATGCATGTAATTTAGCCCTTGGAAGTTTTTTATGTTGGTTTTTGTTATTGCTGGATATTTTGGGGAGGAAGGGGGAGGGGTCCTAATTAATAGCTGAAAAAATGCTTCTTGGAATATCAGTTTGTCTTTACTGTCTAGCTGGTGTCATAGCCATGTTCAGAACTGTAAACAAATGATCAAGTACCTCCTAACCACATGACTGTACTATCTTGTCAGAGGTAAATAGAGTTGAAGGTGCATGAATGAGGTCTAGAAGCAACATGCTTTGCCATGCTGGTGAAGTCCGGACAACTTATTACTTGTAGCTCCTGGTCAGGGAGAGGTTGCAAAGGTTTGTATTAGGCTGTAGCTCATGAATCTCGGTTGTGGACTCCATCTCTTGTCTTAGTCTCTGGCTAGTAGGTGTCAGAACACCTAAGCAAAGATTTTTCTATCACTTCTCCCTACTTCCTGTCTGGCAGCCGACCCTTCTTGGTTGGTTTAGAGGCCCCTCATAATGTGGGGCCTCTAAACTGAAGCTTACTT